ACAGGGGGGTTGTAATCTGGAGACCGGGTCTGGAGATCTCAGGTTGAAATCCTCCTCCCTGCCCCTAGGTTGATTTGTGTTTGGTGGTACCACTGGGTGCGTGCTTTTCAACCAAGTGACAAATGGTGTGGAAATTACCTTGGAATGTTTTCCAATGATCCGAAAATTAATCAGTTTTTAAAACTCTCCAAAATTCGGAGAGGAAAATGAAATCGAATGGAAATTCCCGGAGAGACATTTTCGAAAACTCAGGTATACCTCGCGAGGCCACTCTCTCTTTTGAGAAGTCAGTCTGGGAAGTGCTATTGCATTCGCTAATGAAAATTTTTCAATGAAGAGCGATTCCAAATTTAACTCCTATACGCTTTATAAATAGCCAGAAGGTCAGTTTCGCAACTAAACTGTAGATTTAATCTTCAAAGATTTTCCGTTCAATTTACTGTATTTGTTCCCTTATTTCAGTGTCTTAAATAAATACGGCAGTGCTAAACACTTCTGGATCTACCCTAGTTAAGCAACCAGTACCACAATACATGTGGTACACGAACGCAGTTATATGTGTGTTGTCGTTAATCCTTTTTTGCATGTTTCATGTGGCGCTCGACTCTTTTCTCGCTCCATAAAAGGAGCGGCGATGCGGTTTGCGCATCTTAAAACGTTTAGCTAAAATTTTGTAAGTTCGTCGTTTTAACGCGTGTTAATCTTCTCCATGGGTAACTATCGTTGTTCCTTTATGATTAATTATTATATAACTCTTTGGTGTTTTTCTATCTTAGCAAATCACTATTTTCAGGTTTGGTTNGTCTGGAGATCTCAGGTTGAAATCCTCCTCCCTGCCCCTAGGTTGATTTGTGTTTGGTGGTACCACTGGGCGCTTTCTTTTCAACCAAATGACAAATGGTATGGAAATTACCTTGGGAAGTTTTCCGATGATCCAAAACTTCCCCAAACTCCGAGAGGAAAATGAAATCGAATGGAAATTCCCGGAGAGACATTTTCGAAACTTCAGGTATACCTCGCGAGGCCACCCTCTTTTTCGAGAAGTCAGTCTGGGAAATGCTGTTGCATTCGCTTCTGAAAATTTTTCAATGAAGAACCATTCCAAATTTAACTCCTACACGCTTTGTAAATAGCCAGCAGGTCAGTTTTGCAACTAAACTGTAGATTTAATATTCAAAGAGTTTCTGTTCAATTTACTGTATTTGTTCGCTTATTTCAGTGTCTTAAATAAATATACGGCAGTGCTAAACACTTCTGGATCTACCCTAGTTAAGCAACCAGTACCACAATACATGTAATACACGAACACACTTATATGTGTGTTGTCGTTAATCCCTTTTTGCATGTTTCATGTGGCGCTCGACTCTTTTCTCGCTCCATAAAAGGAGCGGCGATGTGGTTTGCGCATCTTAAAAAGTTCAGCTTAAATTTTGTAAGTTCGTCGTTTTAACGCCTGTTAATCTTCTCCATGCTTAACTATAGCTGTTCCTTTATGGTTTATTATTATATAGCTCTTTGGTGTTTTTCTATCTTAGTAAACCACTATTTTCAGTTTTCCTTCAATTTAAAGGTACTAATGTACCTGGCCAAAATAACTCAAAATGCCTTGACTGAGCTTCTTTAAACAAGAAAAACCAGATTTGAGCATTAATCGGCCAATATCTAATATACCTCACGTTTGGCCATGACAGAAGCTCACTAGCTATCTCGAACACAAATCATTTCCTCTTGGTTGTGTTTTTTCAGTTACTATCGGCTATCTCGAAGTAGCTCCCCTCATATCGAACAATTTTTCGTTTCACCAACGCATGTAAAAGCACAAGCAACACACTTGGCTCAGTAAAAATACATGCTGATAATTAATGGCGCCTTTTGTTCAGAAAC